TTTATAAAGGAATCTGTTATTTACTCTTACGTATAATTTATGACAAAGAAATTTGATATTTTAATAAAAATTTGGTCGTAAAAATTAAGGGAAATTTAAATTAATAAACTTGTTACAATAATAAAATTAAAAAAATTTACAACTTATGAATTATAGATAGATAATAGAAAGAACTATTGTAACAGTATTTTGTAAGTTTTTAAATCATCTGTCTATTACATTTTTACATCTTTCTTTTCTTTTCTCAAATTTATTTTTATTATCTTTGATATTAGTTAAAAGATTGAAATCCATTTTATCGCTCATTTACTAATAAATTTTGAATTACTATATTTTTGATTAAAGAATATTGCTACTTCCAAAAAGTATTTGTCTCTCTCTCTTACACGCCGGAGGATCGACACGCTTCCTTTTCCTTTTCAAACGGTGTTCAGCTTGCCATAAACACATCCCTGGAGACTCGAGTTCAGTAGACGACACTTCCACGTCCAGAGAGCATTTCCACGTTTTCCTACCTGCAGCCTCGATTTCGATATTTACGTTCACCACGACGAATCGAAATTCACGCCCATGATTGAATTTGCCTACCTGTAAAAGGATCTCTCGTCAATTCTCTGTATGCATTTTAATTCTTCTAAATTTCGAGCGAGAAAGAGGATTTTCTTAATTTAAAGATCACCGCTACTTCCACAATTTCGATCGGAGAGATTTAAATTTCTGGAAAAGGAATTTTTAATTATATCAAAAAAATATTGTGAAAAAAATTAGTGAAGAAAACTACTGAAAGAAACAGTATGAATATACTTATCAGTAACGATTCTTTTATATTTATTTCGCACTTAAGAAATAAATGAATCTTAAGAAACGAGACAAAATTGAGAAATCGCTATTTTAGCCGCTTTGCAAGGTTGAAAAGCGTTTGTGTTTAAGATTGAATTGAAAAAATTTTTAAAAGAGAATTTTCTTTCTTGAATCATCGTTATTTTATATAATTGTTTTAATCAGAAATAATTCATATTCAACGTATATCAATTGTTATTAATAAAAAAAAAAATTAAAATTTTTAAAAGAAATTTTTCTTTCAGAAATGCGTCAAAATGGCGATCGTGTGGGTTCTCTATTTAAGAACGGAAGCAAATTTTTGAAAATGTCGGGCTAAGCGGTATCCCATTATAGGTCCCGTTTAATGGTTGTACAAGATATCGAACTTTATACCTGGCGCGATATAAACTACAAAAACCTATAAAATCGAGGTATACCTACTTACAAGGTCGATAAGCATTCCCTTTCTTTCTGTTCCAGGCTGATGTTTTTCTTTGTAAACTTGTAAATAAAAGGCCTCAAAGTGTACGGCGCCGTGGAGAAAACGTTTCACCCGTTCGAGCTGTGCAGCAGGTCAGTTAATTTGAATTAAAATTAAATTCGAATCGATATAATTTAAAAAATATATATATATAGACAGATATTGAACTTTGAAATTTTTAGTTTGAAAAAAACAATACAAAACATTTCAAAATTTCTTTTTTTATCTATATTATTATTATATACAACATTTGGCATTGTTCGCATTTATCGAAACTTTTACTCCACCTGAAGCTCTAAAATTTAGAGACACGTGTACGATTCGACTGAATTAACAACAAGATATCTTACCTTCTCATAAAATTACAAGATTATTGAGGTGTAGGTACTGTTTTCGCAATTTGTGGTAAGAAAACGACACGGACAATGCTTCTAAGACGAAAATGGCGTGGGAGTTGCGTTATGTGGCAATCGATACATGCGACAAGACGTTTATGAAACCCTTTCGATGCGACATATCACCGTTTCATTGTATTCGCTAATGTTTCAGGCTTTCCCGCGTGTTCCAGCCGGGAACACTGGCCGGTATACAAGGTGAGTTGCGCACGAGCCCATTTCTGCATTTTCTTCGGCTTATCGTCGCAAATCAGTGTCTCTCAACCTTTTTGAAATATTGCGAATTCCTTTTCCGAATATTCAAATAACTTGCAAATATTATTTTTCATATAAGGTAAGGAAAACTTTGATTTTTTTATTCCGCCGAATGATTTTTCAATATTCTTTGAATTGCGAATTTCTTTCGAAACATTCGAACAAATAATTTACATCCTTCCTTTTTCGTAGAAGATAAATGTTAAAATTAGCTGTTTTGATATTATCCTATTAGTTAAGTGAAATATTGCAATGTAATTACATTAAAATAAACAAATTTCAAAATTCACAGGTTGGGAATCACTGATTTAAATAAAATCATTATCACGCCCACGATGCCCACATTCTACAAACATTTCTATTCCACAAAATATCGATCTTTGAAATTCATTTTATTATACACGCAAACGAGTGTTACACTTGGAAAATGTCTACGAACAGTGACACTTGGCAATCGACCATTTTTATCAATCGATTCACAATACACCTCAAAATACAAACTGCATTGTAAATGGAAAACAAGTTAAAATATATAAAAAAATGAAGAACAAGAGGAAGACACATCATCCATTGTTAAAATGATCCCGATAGATGTCTCTTTGAGACAAGACGAGTTAATTCGTGTGTCATGGCCGACCTCGAAATGTCGAGCTAAAAAGTCGAGACGATAACGATACGTACTTGCCGTAAACAGAGGATTGTATACAACTGCGTCGCACTAAACCCATAGCCACTAAACCGCGCATACTACCTATAAATGGGCGAGGTTGCTATAAAGCCCATTCATGATCGCGTCTCCTGTACAACAAACGTCAGGTGGTTCACGCCTCCCCCGCGATTTATCGCACACTCTTGTTCAAACGAGAGTCTCGTGCTTCGTATTTCCCGACCAACCGATGAAACAAGACTTAAATGATAACAGTGTAGACAGTAGATTGGTATTTTTCTCCATAAGATTTAAGATAGTGAAAATTGAGAGGTTAGATACTTAATTACATTATCGTCATATCGATTGTGTAAAAAAATGAGATTTTAAATCATTTTGATTGAGATATTTCATGCGATTTCAAATAGCATTGTAAAATCGAATTCTTATAAAAATATTTGAAAAAAAATTCTTTTTACTATTTAATAATGTATCATGAATATATTTGTATAAGTATGATTATTGAAAGAATTTTATAATTATTTGATTCTATTGACAATGATTAATCTTTTATGTAAAATTGAATAGCATTATATTCAATGTTTTAAAAGTTGATGTTTTATTAGTTTTATATATCAAACTTATTGTTAGCTAATTGAAATTTTATATTATGTATTTTGCATTTTTAAAATTAGAATAGCATCTATCTATTATGTGAAAATCAAAAAATAGAAAAAAATCAGAAATCATTAATTTTCTTATTATTCAGTAAATATTAGAATGAAAGAAATATTGCACACGTTTTAGAAATAAGTGTAAAATATTTAAATTATTCATTATATGTTCAGCTATAAATATATTTCTTTATAAATAAATTTTCAATTATAAATTGAAGCTTAAAAATCAAATTCAAAAAATATTCCAAATAATGGACTATATTTTGATATAATAAATTTGCTAGTAAATCTATTCACAATCAATTGGAACAATTTCTTAAATATTAAACTTAAAATTAGATTAAATAATAAATACTAATTGATATAATAAATTTATTCTGATATAATAAATTTCTAAAAATCAAATATGAATAATACAGATAAATTTTAACATAAGAAATTTGTCAATAGATTTAATAATCAACTGAAACAATTTCAAACTAAAACTAGAACTGGATAAAATAAAAAATTAAAATTAGACTGAATAATATAAATCAATTTTAATATATTAAATGTTGATAGATTTAAGAACCAAATAAAACAGTTTTAATAAAAATTAATTGAAAAATAAATTAAATAATACATATTAGCTTTGACAATAAATTTGTTAATAGAACTAATAGCCAATTAAAATGAGAATCAAGTTCAAAAGTAAAACTAAAAATATAGATCATCTTTGATAAAAGATTCAAAAATCAATCTTAAAAATAGTTTGAATAACATAGACCAATTGTGACAATAAATATGTTGATAACCTAAAAATAACTTCCTAAAAAAATAATCTGAATAAAAATTACCTTCAACGTAACAAATCTACTAATCAATTGTAATAATTTCGTAAAAATCAAGCTGAATAACACAAATCTTTGATATAATAGATTTGCTAGCAGTCAATTGAGACAATTTCGTAATTTCCTAGTCAATTAATCGACACACGGTCCCGCGCGTGGCGCGCTCTAGTGGCGCGAGAGTTTGATGGACAGATGGAACGCGTATGTGCCACCGGAGTTGTTGTCAGACCGTTTTACTTTACTGCCCCATAAAAGTACCGAGATTTAGACTGCAATACTGCCGTGACGTATTGTCGGCACTCGTCCGCGCGTGCACATGCACGCTGCGCGCCATTGTGTACGTGAATTCACGCACCGGCGTGAGATTGTGGCAGTCGCGAGACATCATCCATTCCTCCTTTTGCGCGTGACGTCACTCGTGTAAAATACGTAGCAAGAGAACGGTCGAGGACTCAAGTCGTTTGTTCGCGGCCGACTCCTTGAATCAGTTCGCAGTATGGTCGTGTCAATGGAAATGTGACTCGAATGGATAATGTGGCCATTAGGACGATTGCTTTCACTGTATGTTGAATTGTTTCGGTGCTTGATGGCTATGAACCCTTTATGGCCTTCGATTCAACGTTATTTTCATTTTCTCGAGTTCTACTACAATGTTGATATTCTTGATTTCTTGTTTTATTTTTAAACATGTTCGGACAATAAACAGATTTGCAAGGATTATTGAGTTGTCACGATTTAGAATTATTGATAAGAGATTTATTGGAACATAGAATTTTCCATTTTGGAGGTTAGATCAGTTTGTATTTTATTATTATAATGCTACATGTGTCGTTCAAAGAAAAATTCGTCTAAAAGAGGTTATTTAATATTGTACGTTTCAAGAATAAAATTTAAACTATATAAGTACGAGGCATCTACTGACTATCTATAATAATAATCGAAACAATTACAATACTTTCAACAATTATCCGTTGTTCGACTATACACAAATAATTTAACAACGATAAAGTTTGGTCGTTATTTTACAAGATAATAGGTATTGTAAAAAATGTAGTATTCGAATTTACAAATTGACAAAATCATGGTCATGGTAAAATAATACTTCTTTCTCATTGCTGCTTAAAATATCCTAAAAAAAAAAACCGAAAAAAATAAAATTCATCATGCCAACGAAGCAATTCGAAATGTACGCACGCGAAATATAATGACGCGAAAACTTACAATAGATTTACCATAAACGCAGGAAAAAGAATATAATAGTGGAAGAAATGTGCAGTTCGTCAATTGGATCAGAATTCGGGTCATAATCGGATTCTTTTTCATTTTTTCTAGTTGAATCAAGAAAAATGTTTAGAATTTCGAGAGGCAGCGTGTTGACGAGCCCTCGGCGCGCGATATTTAGGCTTTCGTGAGAAAGGACCGTGTGTATATGCATGTTTCGCTTCGTGTGCCGCTGGTTCACGCGCGACGAAGAGAAGGGAGAAAGGCAGATTAGAGGTTGATAGGCGAGGGTAGGAAAGGGGTACGGGGATAACGGCGCGGCAGCGCGCGAAGTGGTAGGGGGAAGAGGGAGACGTGTCCGTCCAGGGTTTGGTTGTCAAACGATCCGATAGATCGCGCTCGCGTCGCAGTTTAGCCCGTTTGCGCGTCGAGCCGCGGGCAGAGCTCTCAGTTGACGCTCAGTTCGGCTCAGCGAGGCCAGAGAGAAGAAAGGGAGTCTTTTCATGTGTGTAAACACCGCGCGTGTGTGTTCGTCGCACCAGTCACAGTTGTCCATGGGGACCGTGCAGCTGAGGAATCTATAACCTGCTTGCTCCCCGTTATATCCGAATCCAGGGGTCTACTACCTGACTTTCCGAGACAGAAAGGAAGAAAAAAGTGACGAGAGAAATAGCATTCGGTCCGACCACGAACGCTCCGTTTCTCCTGACTGTGGCGATCCTTGACGCGAATTTATTGAAGTTTCTTCGGTTCGGATCACGCGTCTATCAATTCTAATACGGACAGATTGAAACGAAGAAATATTTGTTAGGAGGAATAAGGTGAAATAAGATAGAAAAAAAAAGTGACTGGTGAGGAAGAAGTGCGCGCTCGAATTGACGTGTGTGCATTCGAAGTAATGAGCAAGGTGACAGTTTCCTTCGAGGAGACGACATGCAGCTCGAGCATGGCCTGGATCGGGACGACGATAACAAGATTGGTCGAGCAGTGAGAAAGACGTGCTTGTACCATTGTTTGACGTGCTCATCGATTCACTTTACGTGGAAATTACGATTGCCAAGTGTCCTTTTGACATGTTCCAAGAGTGTACTATTTGTTGATCGTTCCGAGCATTCATTATCGCCGGTGACGTTCGACGACCGCCAAGTTCCGTCGAACGCGCGAAACGACATCGACCGATCCGAACAATAGACCGAATAAAAACTGTTGTTTCACATCTATCACGAATATATCTATTACGAATAGTTAATCCAACAATCCTTTACAATCAGATATCTGTCAACGTACATTTTTAAAGAAGTGCTGTGTCAATTTTTATGTTTTCGTTCATTCCAACATCGCGCTCCTCGCATCGTATCTTAATCACCGGTCACCGTCATCGTTGTTCGACCACCTGGATTGCCTGGACATCATCATTGGGATTCCAATGACGGTGTGACTGGATTCTCATCGACGACGTGTTCGCACGTGGTTACTTGTCGCCCATCAACCTCAATCGCAACCTCGGTCGTCGTCTCGGACGCGTTGTCGCGGTGGTGGTGGTGGTGTTGGTGCATGGACCTCTTCTCGACGGATTTGCTACGCATTTTATCGCGCCCCTGGGCGTCTTCGTCTCCCTCTCTGTCTATTCCTGGTCTCGCTCTATAACGTATCTCCATCCTTCTCCTTTGATATTCCGCTTGCTCGCTCTCTCTCTCTCTCTCTCTCTCTCTCTCTCGCCTTCTGGATCACCGTGTGTCGTCTCTCCCTCCATCCCACGCTTACCTACCCCTCCACCTGTCTGCCGCGCTGCTGCACACCCTCTCCTCTCTCCGCCAACCCTCCGCTCGCACGATCACCGTATACCCGTACAATTTTCTTTATCCCCACCTATTCGCGCGCGCCTTCTCTGCCTTCCGCACGCGTTTTCTTTATTTATTCCGCGATTCCACGGAGCAACGCGGCTACTTTCGCACACGATGAAACTTGCCCTTCCGTCCTCGCCTTTTTGAAATCTCACGCGTCTCGCGCAACGACCATTGGCCATCGCCGCCGATCTCCACGCTCGACGGGACCGTTCCCGTAAAATCGACGATAATAACTACCGCTCCGCTCGCCCCCACCCTCCATCATCCTCATCCCTTTTCTTTTCCTCGCCTCCTACTCCCCATCCCCCTCCTCCACCACCTGCGCTCTTCTCTCACCGCGTACGGTGACTCGCTCGCCCGGTCTAACGTTACTCGGTGCGTTACATCGCCGCCTCGTCCGTCCTTGGATCGTATGCGCGCGTCGTAAATGCAACCGCGCGAAACGACGATGCGTTACACGATCCGTTGGTG